TAAAAAAACAACAGTGTTTTAAATCTCCTGTAAGTTATTTTCATCTTATTAATAACTAAACCTATTAACTAACTTCAGTAAATTCCAAGGTAGTCTCTCAAGACAACAGCCAAATTGAAGTTTTTTCAGCTCTTTTAACTTCAATAAAACAGAAACTAAAGAAAAGCTCCAGGCCCATCAGTCATAAAACAAGGAAGGGGTATGCCTGGAGTCTGCGCTTTGAAGAATTTGGGAGTTTGTCCCAGTTGTGGTAATTCTTATCTGCCTTCATTAAAAAACAAACAAACAAACAAATCAGCTAAAAGAAGGTTGTTTGAAAAAAAAAAACTTCTCTTTCCTGGTTTTAAAGTGGATTTGTGCTCAAATATGTTTCCATGAATTAGAAAAATGGTTGAAAATTGTTTAAAGCATTGTATTTAAAAGTTAGTATGCTTTTATTTAGAAAATGTCTTAAGAAAAGTTGAGGAATAAATCTTATAAGCTTTACATATAATTGGCTATAATTTTAAAGATACTATTACAACATTGTTTAAGTTTTTAACATTAATACCTAATACGAGCTGACGTTAGAAATGATACCTGTGTTCAAAAAGTTTTTAAAGTGTGCATACACAGAAATGCTAGTAAATATCTAAAGATAAAAATATCTCCAATTTTGAAAACTGTTAAAAAAAAAAAAATTGAAGCATTGAACCTTAGGTAGTCTCTGTTTAATTGGTGAATTTGTCAATTCTCTATCCAGCTTCAGTAAGCTCTATTCTTATTCCAACTTTTGAATTTGTTAAAGTTCTGAAAAAGTTATGAGATAATTTTATACAGTAATTCCTGTATTTAAGGTTATATTTCCATTTAGGTGATTGACTAAGGAAATATACATTTTGCCTTTCAGTTAGGTAATCCCTTGCGTTCTGTATATTGTCTTTGTTAAATTCTCATGATTTAAAAAAAAAACTGTGTTTAAAATGTTTGGGTGATCATTTATAAGTGAAAAAAAAAAATTCTGATCTGTTGCTGTTTGAATCAGTCTGATTAAATGGGTGGTTATTATAATGAGAAATCTTTGATCAAATACTTTAAGGCCTCTTAGCATAATTAATAGACTTAACTCTTCTGGTTCTGGGATTTCTAATAAATAAGTAAATAAATAAAATAATAAAAATTTGAGGGGGCAGGGGGAATTGCAGAAAAGACATTGGGAAACCTTGCTAGTGGGGAGCCAGGACTAGAATCAATCCTGCTGGGAAGGATAGATCTAAAAAGTACAAGAGTGTGTAAAATCCAACAGGTCATATCAGCGCCAAACATAGAGACTTTGTATTCTAGGATTCCAGCAGACCTATTGTATCCATTAAAGCTAAAGTTTAATTGTAATACTAAGAGCAATAATAATAATAATAATAATAATAATTCTAAAACATTGGTAACTTTAACACACTTAAGAGAATTCTCAAGTAGCTCTTAAAAGCTGTTGTTATATGTGTGTTACCTAATATGTATGTGCATGTTTATGAATGAGAATTGTTAAGCTAAATCCTTTTTGAAAATAATGTATAGATGCATAATTAGGCTCTTAGAGAGTCATGTCCATTATTGTTTTCTCAGGATCTACAAGATCTGTTCAGCTCAATAGTTTAACATGATTTCAAATGCATTTACTGCTAGGGTACAGTTTGAAGACTGGCCATGGGAGCCCAAATCCACATAAGTTAAATGGAAAATATATGGGTATATGTATGTAAGTGTTTAATGATAACTCAGATCTCAGAGAATGTTAAAATGCTCCAACATGGGAAGCAGCTCCTACAGCAGACTCATAGACTGACAATTTTGAGTAGCACTCAGTGGCCTCAGAATCAGCCCAAAAGGCATTCTGGTCTGACAGGAGAGCCAGCAAAAGAACAAGCATATCAAGTGTGGAATGCCAGGACACTACTGCTAAGAGTGTCCCTCCCTGAAGGACCTCAGTGGTCCACACCCCAGTGCAAAGAAGCAGCCATCAAGGACAGTTGTGCTCTTCTCTCAATGGAGGAGAGAACTTCCACTTTGTGTGTGGTCTTGTCTAATGGGGTTGTTGTGGATTCAAGAGGCTTCCACAGCCTAAACACCATTTGTCTGGAACCTCAGGTTATCACTGACGTCACACATAAGAGTGCTAATTTGTTAAATCCACTAGTCACTGTGTACACTGTCTTCCAATGCAGGATCTGTATGTTCAGAGTCATAGTAAAATTAATAGTACACCTTGCTGTATTTTAGTATAAAGATTTATCATCTCAGTTTTGGTTATGTCTGAATATTTAACTCTTTTGCCCTAAGAAGTCAGTTTGCATTTACCTGTCCTGTGATGGGCTTATATCCTGATGCTGTATGCTAATCCTTGCATTGTTACTGTGCCTTCTGATTAATCTAGGTTACCAGTTTTATGCAGCTCAGAAGTTTCATGTGTTCCATTAAGCTTATTGGGTATGTTCCAAAATTTGAGACTTAAAGAAGTTAATTTAGACAGACACAAATCTAGTCCATAGTCTTAGATTAATGTTCACTCTGACAAAAGTTGAAACCTAACAATTGTTTTACATCTAAGTTCTGAGGTTCAAATATTCAAACTGCTAACTGAACTCACAATATGCTAGGCTAGGAAGAGTTATAACTATGTTATGTTTTGCTATTTAGACTTCAACACAGAGAAACTTTTCAAGTGCCAGGATGTACATCAAACACCTGATGACTTCTGCCTTCTATCAGGAACCACAAGATGGACCCCCTACAGCTGCTGTTACCAAACGGCGCCCCCTTCTCAGCAGGAAGTAGCTAAGAGCGGATGACAACGCCCCTTCTCCCTAAAAACAATTGGGGTTCATTTCTGTTTGAAAATGTAGGAGTCAGATGGGATGATAGGCAGTTAGAGTCTCTGGTTCCTGATAAAACTGTTTTGTATACATGTAACATCTTAGCACTATGTGATTCTGGAATGTTAGTATTTTCAACAATACTTGTACATTGTTAAGTATGTCTTCTTGAATCTCACCAGCCAGCTGTTCCCCAATATACCATCATATATGTATCACCCCAGTATGAGTTCACAATATTTTGGCGAGAGTGATAAAAACCAATCAATACCTCTGGGGACAATGGTCTAACGCCTTCCTAAATCTCACCAGTCAATTAGCCACCAGTATAATTAAAGTAAATGAGACCTGAGTTCTACCCATGTCGGGGAAAGTTATTCTAAATGGCATTAAGCTGGCAGCTTGCATGTTCAATAAATGCAGCAAGGTTATGGCCTTAAAAACCTTGACATTGCTGCAATGGCTCAGGCTCCCCAAGTGATAACCCCCCACATCGTGCCATGCGGCTCCAGTCTTCAAAGAGGCTCATCTAATATAATGAGGCATGGCTTTTCCTGGGTAAGCATTTAGCCAATGACGGGCATCTTTCTGATACCCCGCCAACCTAAGACAGGGAGCCCTGGTGACTGGCAGGGCTGCCCAGAGACGGGTAAGAGCTGAGGGTCCCTCAGAATGAGCCTAAGACAGGCAGTGCTTATCTTGCCTCAAGGAACCTTTTTCTTTTCGCCGCTTTCATTGATATATAGAAAAGAGGGGGAGATGTCAGGAGCCGTGTACTATAGCCACACTGAAGCCATTTTGAATATAGAACTATGGGCCAGTGGAAAATCCCTGGCTGGCTAGATGCTTGAGAAAGAAGTTATGAAACTAATCACACGCTTAGCTTCAATTGTTTGTAGCAACTGTTTTAGAATGTGATTTATGCTGTACCTGCCGACATCTTGTTACTGATTACCTATGCTATTGTTGATATGCTGGTTACTATTGTGGATATGGTGACTGCTCAAGAACAATTGGTCTGGAGACCATGGCTTGCGTCCTAGCTTCTCCTTTCCTCCCTGAGCCTTAGTTACTGAAGAATATAAAAACCCTCAACTAAAATCAATAAACTGACAGCTTGATCAGACATCCTGTCTTGCTGTCCATTCTTCGTGTCTCTTGTCCCCCAATCTCTCCTAAGTGGTTGCGACCCCCGTTGACTGTCCTGCTAGACGGGACATGTATCCCTCACTCTCTGAATACACTTTTTGAGCAGTGTTGGTGTCTGCGCTTAAAATGCTATTTAAGTAAAAGACAAACAGCTGGGAAATATTTGGCCTAAAACTGTTGTGGTCTTAGGCGGTTGGCTCAGGGTCACCAACTGGTCCTTTCTGCCCACCTGCGACAGCTGCCGCCACCCGGAACCTGGGAGGGCTGTGGTGTTGTGCAAACACTGCCCTCAGAGCCCCCGGAAGGCCCAAGACGGAGAGGGGCTCACTGCGGGCCACCTGCCGGGAGGGGATAGAGAGAGGCAGAAAGAAAAACGGAAACTGCCAATCGAGTTCTTCAGACTTCAGCGTAAAATAAGAGTAAATCTAAACCACACAATTCCATCTGCACGTTTCTTGTTTTAATCAGGCCTGTGAGCAATGTATCTTAATTTTCTTGTGCTGGTGATTTCTATCTGCACAAATACTTGGAGTGACCTTCTTTTAAAATATCCCACTCTGTAGTATATGAAAATCCTTACCCTCTTCTTATAGATGGTTTATCAAAAACTTTTGTATGTTTGTTTGTTTAATCTTTTAACACTCAATTAGATATTTGATCTAATTTACAAGATTAATTTTTTGTGGCAGGCCCTGCCTTTTCTTTCTTTTTTTTTTCACGTTAATTAATAAGGTATTGAGTGACCAATATGTTAGAAAATGCAAGTTCTTAACCACATCCTGTAACTACTTTCTTGACATCTCAATTTTAGTATATGCACAACTGGCTGCTATTCTAAAAGTTACATTGGGTATCTTAACAGGTTTATGTTCCTGATGCTTTAAATTCCTCTCGAGAGAGAGCTGGTGTAACTTCCAAGTCTTCTGAAGACATATCAGTAGATAATAATTCAGATAATAAAATGTTAAATGTAAAAAGAGCCACTGTTTCATGGGAAAATAATCTTGAAGATTTGGTAGAAGATGAAGATTTGGCTGAGGATCTAGAAGAAGGTGAAGAAACTCAAAATAAAGAAATGGAACTTAGTGATGAAGATTTGGATAGAACTGTGGAAGATAAGACTTTACTTAACTGCAAGGAGAACAAGGTAGGTATTAAAAACTTATTGATTGGGGCCTGGCAGCGTGGCCTAGTGGCTAAAGTCCTCACCTTGAATGCACCAGGATCCCATATGGGTGCCGGTTCTAATCCCGGCAGCTCCACTTCCCATCCAGCTCCCTGCTTGTGACCTGGGAAAACAGTTGAGCATGGCCCAAAGCTTTGGGATCCTGCACCCGCGTGGGACACCCGGAAGAAATTCCTGGCTTCTGGCTTCGGATCCGCATAGCATTGGCCATTGTGAATCATCAGATGGAAGATCTTCCTCTCTGTCTCTCCTCCTCTCTGTATATCTGACTTTCCAATTTGAAGTTCATTAGCAATTTTTATAAATAACTTTAAAAATGTTTTAATGGTATATATTTATTGGCATACAGAGTTAATAGTTCTTAAGGTTTCCTCTCCCATTTTTTCAATCATACGTTGACATTTTTTGTATCTCAAGTTTATGTTTTGAAAAATTTTAAGCCTATAAAAATGCTAGTATAATGAGTAGTTGGGTCCCCAATTGTTGTCATATTATAAATATGTAAGTAAAGATTCTTTTGCTTGTAGGTAAAAACCTATACAAAATTATACCTTAAAACTAACTATGATGGTATTTATTTTCTAAGAATGAGAAATTTTCCTCATAATTTCCATGACTGTTCTTTCACCTAAGAAGCCTAATATTGATGTAACAAAGCTATCTGTTAGGCCACCCATCCTGAGATTTCTCTGGTGGTATTAATATAGCTTGAATAACCATTTAATTTCTGTTTACAAAAAAACATTGATTTTAGCATCACGTTTGTGTAGTCATTTTTAATCTAGCGTTGATATCTTTTAGAAGTAGAGGCTATCCCTACTAATGAAATTCACAGTGTTGGGTTTAAGTGGAATAGTAGTTCCTGGTGGATAATACATGAGGCAAATTTACTTTTTTCTTAGTTCAGCTGAGCATTGAGATGTTTGAGTTTATTTTTCATGTAGGTCTTCCTATGAGGTGGAGAGATTACAAAGTAATGAATCTGCAAATGCCAAAAATTTAGTGAGAATGCAATTTTTAAAAAGGATACTTAATTGTGGTTGATTAGATAAAAATTATTTTTGAAATAGTTGGACAGTATTTGGGTTATGTTTATCCTTTTATAAGGATAGTGTCAGGTGGCACTGTCTGCTTTTGAGTTATTTACTCAGCACTAATGAATGCTTGCACGCGTATTGGAGTTTATTGTTTGAGGCTGCTTACTGCACAGTTGGTTGTGCGAAGAGATTTCCGAGGAAAGGTGAAGAGAGACTTTTTGTTTGTTTTTTTCTGCAGGAACTGCCAGATGTTAGATTGATGCTTGAAGACACAGAGTTAGAGTCACTTAGGACATTGGGGCTGTCCTGCTAGTTACCGTCTGTGCGATTAGTATGTAATTTCAGTTCTTGGCTGAGAGTTATTTCTTAGTGGCAGAATACTGTACTTTGTAAGTTACATACTCATTGCCACGGTGGAAGATCCATTTCTTAAAAATGATTTGAGACGGGCCCGGTGCGGTGGCGCAGTGGTTAAGGTCCTCGCCTTGCACGCCCGGGATCCCATATGGGCGCCGGTTCTATCCCGGCGGCCCCACTTCCCTTCCAGCTCCCTGCCTGTGGCCTGGGAAAGCAGTCGAAGACGGCCCAAAGCCTTGGGACCCTGCACCCGTGTGGGAGACCCGGAAGAGGCTCCTGGCTTTGGATCGGCATAGTATGGGCCATTGCGCTCACTTGGGGAGTGAATCATCGGACGGAAGATCTTCCTCTCTGTCTCTCCTCTCTGTATATCTGCCTTTCCAGTAAAAAATAATAAAAATAAATCTTAAAAAAAATGATTTGAGGCAATTGCCTCCAACTTTCTGGTAATTGTTTCAAACTATCCATGTCTGGAATTTAATACAGATTGTAGGTTATTTTTTAATTTTAGAATTGTGCAGCTAGATATTTTACTAAATCGATTACTTTTTTAGGCATGCATTTTTATAGGAAATGGTTTGCCTCTGGTGTCTGAGGACAAAAAAATGCTTGTTTATGTTATTAATTAAGTGGATGAGCTTATCATCTGTTTTAAACTAGCTTTTTTTTTGTTTTTCACTTACGTTTGCTGAGACTGTGAAATTACTGATTTCAGATTTTAATGGACCAAGGATTGAAGGAGAGTGACCACCAGATTCGAAAGCGAAGACTTCGAACAAAAATGGAGAAATGAATGGTTCATGGAGGAGCTCATTGTAATGGAGGAGCTCATTGTAATGCTCAGCCCTACTTTATAAAGATAACTGTATTGGTTTTTTAAATACCTCTGTATAGAGATTATTGTTTTATATATAGTGTTATTTTATTGTTTTATATATAGTGTTATTTTAATGCAATAAAGAAAACAGTTTGTCTGCTTTTTAAACCTTTTCAAAAACAGTTTCTTGGGCCTGATGCTGTGGCTCAGTAGCTAAATCCTCGCTTTGCATGTGCTGGGATCCCATACGGGAGCTGGTTCTAATCCCAGCAGCCCTGCTTCCCATCCAGCTCCCTGCTTGTGGCCTGGGAAAGCAGTCGAGGATGGCCCAAAGCCTTGGGACCCTGCACCCGTGTGGGAGACCCGGAAGAAGCTCCTGGCTCCTGGCTTTGGATTGGTGCAGCTCTGGCCATTGTGGTCACTTAGGGAGTGAAACCAGTGGACCGAAGTTCTCTGTTCTGCCTTTCCAATAAAAATTTTAAAAATCTTAAAAAACAAAAATGACAAAAACCAGTTTCTTTCCAAGTAGCCTATATTTCCACTTTGGAGCAGTGAAGATCCTAGCAAAGACGCTGTCATTCTCATGTGTTTTTCTGCACATGATGTCATAGGCTGATTATTCAGTTTCTCATATTTAATAGTGTCTGCTAGACTGTGCAACTGACTTTAAAAAAACAAAAAGAAGATGTACTAATTTTATTTGAAGGGCAGAGTCGGGGAGAGAGGAGAGGGCAGTGGAGACCCTTCATCTCCGTCGCTCCCCCGGCGGCCGCAGGAGCCTGGGACTGCAGCTGCACCTCCCGCCTGACTAACCCGCTTTGTACTTGGGCTCAGCAACAAGTGTGTTAGAGCTGGTACCCACGTGGGATGCCTCCCTCGGAGGTAGCTGCTTAATCTGTTACGCCACACTCCTGTCCTCTGTAACCCGATCTTTACCTAGCTGATTTATAATTAGGATTAAGGGAATAGGTGTGTGCAGATCTTCTGTTTGCCAAAACCATGTATGCAAATTATTTCCTCCTTGTAGTGCTAGAAGCTCATGCGAGCTGACTTGAACCCCTGCTGCCCCACTTTGGACCCAGCGGCCTGCAAATTCACACGGAAGGCAGTGGGAGAGGGCCTGAGTGCTTGGGCCGCTGCCACCCCGTGGGAAAGCAGCATGAACCCCAGATCCTGGCTTTGGCAAGGCTCAGCCCTGGCTAATGCAACCGATTGGGAGTGAGCCCGCACGTGGAGGCTCTCTCCCTCTTGGTGACTCTGCCTTTCAAATAAGTCTATCATTCAGACGTTAAACATGAAATTCAGACCAGAAAAGATGGAAGAACGAAATGAAAACAGAGCCGCCGTGTCCTTTGTGTAATTGGAGATCCCAAGTGATAAAAGGAAAAGTAGAACAGGAAGAAAAAAACAATACTTGAAGAAACAGTGATCCAAAATTTTCAACTTCTGAGGAAACGGTGGATCTAGAAGCTTGGCCATTGTCAGGATAGATCCGCACAGAATTACAGCTGCAAACACGGCTGTGAAACTGGTCAAAAAACAAAGAGGAAATTTGCGAGCAGACACGCTATTTACAACTACCAGCTAGACGGACATACTTGTAAAATGTTTATTGGATGAAGGACTTGATACAGACGCGTCAACAGAGGCACGCATTCTTACAATGTCATAAGTCATTAGAATTCCCTTTTGGGGAAAATGTAGGTTTACTTAAGCTGGATGGTACGGGTCTGTCTCTGGGCCTCTCGGCGCCATCGGGCAGAGCTGCACAGGACGTCTGAAGCGGCTGCAGGGACAGCACCGCGCGCTGCCTTTTCTGTTTTGGTTTAATACAGGCAAGAGCCAGGGGCAGTCACTGGCTGTAACTCGGTCGCCGGTAGCCGTGTTAGCATCTGCCGCAGGCACACGGGCAACGCAGCGCAGCACGGCACGGCCGGTGCCACCAGGCAACAGGGGTTTCCAACTCACCTCGTGGGATCGTCACTGAATCTATCAGCTTTTCACCAAATTGCTGTTACGCACGCTTGACGTGTGTGAGCACAGATAAGAAACTTAGAGCTGCCGAGAGCACAGCTCCGTGGCTACCAGGGAGGACGTGAACAGATGTTTCCAGAAAGCGACCGACGGAGGAAAAGCAGTGAGATGAGTGACGTGAGGCCAAAGCTGATGATGCCGGGACGAAGGCGCTGCCTCGGGGCGGGCTTGGGAAATGGGACTGAAAGCCACGAAGAGACCAGAGGAGAAGGATTGTTCTATACTTGCATTTTTGTACGTTCTCCACGCGGCTATTAAGCAAATTGTCCATTTGGGTGCATTTTATCATGTACTTTGCATTGTTAGCATATATAATGAATTACTATTTCATAGAGACCAGGATAGCTAAAGCTAGAAAAACTAGCAAAAGTAAGTGAAAATCTCAAACAGTGGCATACCTTTTTTTTTAAAAAAAAAAGTTGCTATAAACTAAGTTTGTTCCATGTTTTCCTGCTCCCTCTGCTGCTTCTCTTATTAAATTTCTGTACTTATTTGAAAGAGTTCTAGAGCCCTTCACTGGCTTACACCTCGGATGGCCGCAGCCAGGTGTCAGGAGCCTCCTCTGGGTCTCCCGCATAGGGAGCAGCGTTCCAGACACCTGAGCCATCGTACACTGCTTTCCCAGACCACAGGCAGGGAGCTGGATGGGAAGCAGGGCAGCAGGGTCCAGCGCCGTAGCCTAGCAGCTAAAGTCTCTGTCTCACATAAACCGGGAT